TAATTGGGGATGAATTACCATTTTTTGCATTTACTTTCTTAAATATTAATGTTACGCAAAAAATTATAAGTACTATTATTGTAGCTATATGTATTTACTAAATAAAAGTTTCTCATAAATATGTTGTGAAGTTTATGGTTATCCGTTAATTTAAAAAAAAAACTGGTCAAAGTTAATGTCTTAGGAAATTTCATAATTTTTATTTTTTCTCTTATCTCTTAAATTTTAAAGTTATTCAAAAATCGTACATACATTTTGTTATAGAACGTACTATGCTATATTAATAAGGTTTCTTGACGATTTTTGAAACATAATCATTTTTTATATAAAATAGAAAAATAACATTTTTATACTATTATTATTTAATTTTTAAAATTTTACATTAAAAAATAAGAAAAAAAAGGATAGAAATATAATAACTTTACTATTTTATTGCATCTTTGATCAACATATTTTTACTATGGCCTGGATATTTTTTACGGTATTCTTGTACTACCTAAAAAAATAAATCTTAAGTGACACTAGTTATTTTAGTAAATTATTAACATATAACTTACCTTCAATACATACTGCTTTTAATTTTCATTTTTCGTAAATTTGGTATTAAAATCTTCCATCAATTTGACTCCACGTTCGGCTGCATCATTTATGACGCTCAAATGGTGTAAAATATTCTTGGCCTTTTTATAACTATCAATATTTGGCCAATTTTCCGGATTTTGTTGCAAGAAATCCATGCTTAATTTGAACCTTTGGAATATATTTTTTGATTTATGCGTCAATAATTCAAGTGGTAAGTCCTGTTTTAGAAATTGTGATACATCGCCAATTTTTAATACATATTTTTTTTGTATATCTGTGGTAAATTCATCGTCCTCAAGCTCGTCATTTTCTAGTAGTTTTTTAGCCATTTGTTTTTTTATTTGATTATCAATCCTGTCATCAAATAACGAAAAACGAGCGGTTTCTTCTCCAAGATACCATAAGTGATTAATACATTTTTTCATAGCGATCTCAGCCACTTGCTTATCATCAGATTTATAGTCTTCAAGTTTTTTTAAAAAAAGTACATCGTTATAAGGGGCTTTAATAGCATTAGGAGACCTAAACCAAAACTCGATATAGCATTTTACAATAAAACAACAAATAGTTTCTAACGAAGAAATTTCTGCTTTCGTAATTTTAAATTGTTTTTGAAAAATGTATATTTTCAAACAATATATTTCCTTGCACATCCATCTAGCTAGATGATAAGCTCCTGGACGTCTAAAATGAATACCTTTAGGTGGTACCCCACCCAAAAAAATTATTACCAATTCCAAAAATTCTTTGTAATCATCCCTTGGTAGATTTTGGCTTAAGGTATCTTTACAAAATATTATAACATCATCGACTACTTTATGCAATATTTTTTTGACCCCAATATCACTTACCCAAGTACTAAATTTAGTTGTATCTATTTGATTCCAGTTATTTTTAAAACGTTTAAAAATTGGAATATCGGGACCGGACATTATTGTAAGTTTTGAGTATGAGAAAATTGATTGCAAAATAATTTCAAATATGTGATGCCGACAAGCCAAAAACATTATTGGCCTGTTTAACATTTGTTCTAATAGCACACATGATTCATTTAATCTGCCGCTGTTGGATGCCGTTGTATCAAAAGCAAACGCTTGCACTTTTTCCAACATATCCCAATCCTTTTATGTGTCATACACTGCAGAAGAAATTTCCTTTCCGGTACCAGATGACAAATGTGGTATTCCAAGAAGTTGTTCTACATTTGGTGCTGTTATAATAACTGGTAATCTATCTACATTTTCTGTTCTAATCAAATTAGGAAGTATTTTTGAGTCCCAGTGAACAACTACAGAATTTAAGTTTAATTGATGGAACGCTGTTTTAATTTCGGAAGATATTTGGTAACGAAAACTTTCACGAGCTCTCTTAATTGAAGAGCGACTTATCGCATAGTCTTTTACATCTACATTAAATACCTCGGCACATGCTATTAATAAGTGAACTGCATCCCTGTCACTAACCTTACATTTGTCTAAAGCTGATGCTAAACGACTATTCATAATTTCTTTCCTACCTCGTTTATTTTTCACTGGCATTGTAATACTTTCACAAATTTCGGAATCTTTAGAGTTAAGCACATCACGTTCATCATCGCTTGATATACTCTCCACAACATCAACACTGTTAGTTGGGCTGAAAAAAAAAATAATAGATATAGTCAATTTTATATTGTATATTAGGTAAATTATTGTTAAAAATCATTAGATAATTTTTTTTTTTTTAATGACAAAATTAATTTACCCGGTTCCATAATCGATGTTTGTTTGCTTGAACAATTCTCTCCTTTGCTCTTGCTCAGATCTTCGTTCTTCAACTGCACATAATTTTTTGTCCACACCTATCATATACCCAACACGACCTTCTTGTCTTTGTAAAGTTAGAAACTGCCTGTCTTCTTCAATTTTAATTATATTGAAAGCATCTTTGTGGGCAATATCAAACAAATTATTTAATGAGTTTTGAAATTTTTTTTCATTGTACTGTTGTGTTGCAGACTTTCTTGTTTTATTTTTATCTAAGCTTCGCCAACTTTCATATACATTTTTTATTTTTCGAACTACATCACAATGATGTTGAGTAGGTATTCTTGCCTTTTTCCAAAACAATAAGCATTCATCAGCAACAAGGCCCGAACTATCATTTAAATTTAAATTTACAACACGCATGTTATGAAATAATACCCGAAGGCAGTCTCCATTGGATGGTAATTTATTTACAGTAATTTGATTAACCATATTACCTAAAAGGAAAATATACTGACGAGGCATTTTTAAATCAAACGTAAAAAAGAAAAAAAAAGAAACGTATAACACTTTGTGTAGAAAAGTCGCACTAACTTATGACACAATTGTGAACACTGGACGTCTAAACAAACCGACAGTTTGACGGATAATGGCAATTTAATATTATTTAATATTATGTTCTATTAATCACTTTTTCAATTTATTATGAAATACTATTTGGCTATGGCTCGTAGATAAAAATGCGATAAGTCAAAGATATAATGTGTTTGTGGTTTCATAGTCTAAAAATACACAACTAATAGTCTAAATATTATGTTATCGGAGGACAAATATCAATGTACTGATTATCGTCATCAAAAATATCGATTTATTGTAAAAACAAAATTAAAATTATTTATTAACAAAAAATAATAAAATTAGGGCGAATCGTTAAACATTCCGGTTTCTTGTTAACTGACGGTAAACCATCAACCTTACAACATATTTATGAGAAACTTTTATTTAGTAAATATATATAGCTACAAAAATAGTACTTAGAGATTTTTGCGTAACATCTATATTGCAGAAATTAGAGGTCAAAAACTAAAAACTTATGAAATTTCCTAAGAAATTAACTTTGACCAGTTTTTTTTAAATTAACGGATAACCATCAACCTCACAACATATTTATGAGAAACTTTTATTTAGTAAATACATATAGCTACAATAATAGTACTTAAAGTTTTTTGCGTAACATCAATATTTAAGAGAGTAAATGCATAAAATGGTAATTCATCCCCAATTAATAAAAATTCAACCCCTTTGAGGCACGGGAAGGGGTAAACTTGTCACGCTCAAACTTTGTCATAGTTATTGTTTTAATACATAGAACAAAATTTGGGGTACTCCTCATCAAATTTTTCGATTCAAAAAATAAGGACCACCCTAATATATATATATCTTTTCATAGACAGCGCCTCTCCTCACCCGTTATGAACTAGTTCATAAAGTGTCATCGTTCACTGACCAATCGTTCACCAACTACTCGTTCAATGAACTAATTCGTTCATGAACGAAATATCTCTACTTTTTATGTTATTTATTATAATCAATGGTGATATTATATTATAGAATATATTATTACTATATGGAATATATGAACCAGCGAATTGTCTATTGAACATCACCTTTTTTTTCTGCATTGAGCGTGCAGTGACGCAAACAAACAAGATATAAGTAGCGACTCATTGATGATACTTTATATAATGATGATGTTTATAATTTGTCAGTCTTTAAGGTCACAACGCCACATTCGTTTTCGGCGCCTTATATAACATGATGTAACAAGAAGAGGTGGAAAATTTGATGAGAACGGTAATTTGAGGTAAAGCGTTTGATATGGAGGTTGTCCCATTTAGTTGATGGTTTTAGTAAAGACTTAAATATCGTACATTTTGAACAGTTAGTTGGCAGGACCGTCGTTGGCGGGCAGGCAACTTAGATAAATGCCTAGGGTCTCGAATTTAAAATAAATTCGGGGACCCACAAGTTAGAATAGTTAGATATATTTAGATCAAAGGAAATTGTACTGCTTTTCTCTAAGACCTTGCAAAAGAAGCTTGCGACGGCACTGTTAATAGGAGGAGTAAGTCAGAAGGTTTTCCTGACTTGAAGATCATGATAATGACAATTTCCAATAAAGCTGTGAAACATGCGATTCTTAACATAGAGTGCATTAAGGAGAGTTCTATCATCGGACGGTTTCGGATTGAGTGTTCAACTTTGCTTGGTCGAATGGATTTGGGATGTTGAGTCAAGGGTAATGAGCAAAATACGAAACATTCTACCGATCTAAGTTGAACATGGGATGGTATTATATGGATGAAAGGTGGAACATTAGTTAGAGTATAATTTAATTAGTACTCAATTACATTTCACCAATATCGTAATTCGTAATATATAACGTGGGTACTGAAACCCATAGACCTCTATTTTTTTTTTATGTATTTAAAAGTAATATTTATGTATATAAAAAGTAATTATTTACTAATTAATTACATAATGTCAAAAACGCTCCTCACAGTTGTATTCCATATGTTGGTAGGCTGATTACTTGTTTATAGAGTTAAGTGGTCTCACACGGTCAATACTATCGACAGTATAGTCCTCAGACAGTCAATATTTAATTAGCGTCAATACTCAGTATTAATTTGTGAAACAAAATATATACCACAATCAAAACACGTGACCAGACCCCCTTGACCTTCTCATAAAACCGCTACTGGATTTCCTGAAATATTTATATGAAAATAATTACTCAATAAATGTGAATGAAAACAATGTACTAATGATATTGACTATTACCGGCTAATAGTAAACAATAACTAAATTAAAATAAAATAAAAATATTAACTAATATTGTGGACCAAGGAAGTAGAGTAAATCAAAATCAATATAGTGGAATAACAAGACAATGACAAAAGTAATTTTAAGTCAAGACATTACAATTTCCATGTTCAATTAAATAATTATTGGTAACCTGATATAATTACTTATACTGTAAACTTGATGAATACTTTAATTGATAGTTGATAAAAACTTATAGTTAGACATTACCATTAGTCATTGCATAGGAATCAGGTAATAGATAATTCACATTTGTTGTAACAAAAAGATATGGTTAAAAAATAATAATTCTAGTTTTTGAATAAACCCTTGATATGTATATTATATAAATATTGTAAAAACAAGAAACGTAACAATTATACAAGAGTATTTTATTATTTTATAAGTATTATTCTGTAGATTCAATCATTAGTATATTATTTTAATAATTATTTTTATGTTAGTATACATAAGTTTTATAATGGATAAAATGGATAAGAATTTAAAATACATAGAAGTATATTGTACATTTTTTCAATAATTTATTTGATAACACCTAGTAGAAACAAGTAAATAGGGAAATAATTAATTTTTAAGACATCATTAAATTAATAAAATATATTTTATTTATATTAAAGTCATATTATTATAGTTTGATAAACACACATTATTAAACTAAGGTATCACAAGGAATCATTTTTTGATTTTCAGATCAAAAAAAAAGCAGTAATATACATTAATTTAAATAAATATAAATTATGTAAAATTAAAAATATAACAAATGATTAAAAGATGTAAATATATTTGCAAATCAAATGCCGTAATTAATATAAGTATAAAATAATATTATCAATTAAATCACACAAAGAATTGTTGTATATTTATTTTACTAGTAATTACATTTATTTTTGTAAAATTTATATTACAAAGAAATTATATATATATATATAAGTTAATTTTTTTTTTTGTTATGATATAGAAATAATTTGATTTATAAATATTAAAATTGTCGTATAATATATAATTATTTAGTTTTTAATTTTTTATATAGTATAATATATTGCATGTATTATTTGAAATATAATACAATTTTATTCTTAAAATGTTGAAAGAGAATATATACAATTATATATTGATAAAATATTATTTCTATATCTGATGAAAATCAAAAGTAATTTATCTTACACAAGGTTTTAAACTTACAATAAAATACTATTTCAATAGTTGTAGAAGTGTGAATAATTTAAAAAAATAAAACAATTATTATTATGCACCAAATCCATAAATAAAAGCTATCCTTTGGTAAAATTCTCCCAAAGTACGTTTTAGAAGAGGTCTAGTAGCAGATTCAGTCAGAATTCTAACACCATTAAATAAGACTGGTAATAGTAACTTAAAAGAGTTATCATCTAACTGTGCCAATAAATCAAAAACTGAAATTAACATTTCTGACCAAACTAATTCATGTACTTCACTATCCTACAAATCAATAAATCAAATTATTTAGAAAACAGTTTACATTTAAATATATTGATAAAATAAATGTAATTAAAAACTCAACACATTACTTTGTTCATACTGATTTTTCTTTGTTCTTCAATTTCTACTGGTAAATTTTCTTCATTTTTCTCAACAGAATCTGGTTGTCCTGGCATAGAGTTAGCATATTTTCTTTTTTTGTATTCTTCAATTAGATTATCCAAATTTTTACAACTTGCTATTGCATATATAGCATCATCATCTTCACTTCCACTATCTTCAGCTTTTGATGTTAAAGGTGCATTTGGATATATCTTTTTAAAATCTTCAAATTTAAATGCTGTAATTTTTTCACTTTTTTCAAAAAGATCATCATTTTGTGCTACAAAGAAAAATACTGGCTTATCTCCTGCTCTATCAATGACACAATGTGTACCACTTTTATCCATTACTATTTCAATATATTTTTGGCAAGCATCATCAAATATTCGTTTTAGTTCAAGAATAAAACATTCAGTATCATTAACAGGAGACCTTTTATCAATAATTTGTTTAATCTGATCAGAACTCAATAGAGATGTGCGATGAATACATATTTCAAAAAGTGTGACCAATGATAGTGTCCAAGCTCCTCCTGCTTGTTTGTACAAATTGGCAGCTTTTTCTAAGCCTGCAACTTTTTGAATTAGAAATTTTAAGCCGGGTCTAGAATCAAATTCCCATGAAATACTGTAGGTCATATTTAAGCATGAAATAAATGTATGAATTTGAAATTCAGTAAGTGAGGATAAATAACCAGGCATAGATTTTTCAAGTATTTTAGATGGCTGTTCATCCATTGGTGTTATCAAAGAAGATTGAAGAATATTTGCCAAACTAAAAAAATAATGCAATTGTAAATAAATTTTTTTCTATGTACTTGTAAATAAATACCTTGGAATGGCTTTGTTGGTACCCGTTATTAAAACATTTCCAATCATTTGTAATAACATCTCATTTACAAATAATCCAAGCACAATGTTTTTATAAGGAACACGCTCTGGTGTCTTTTGCCATTGGTTGTCTATTTCTGAATTACACCAATGATGACATAATAAAAATATAAAACTCCTTTCATCATCAACAATTGTATCACTATTGACTCTTTGATGGTCTAATAAAAATACCTAGAAATTAGAATAAGTCAAAATAAACAATTAAGGTTGTGGATAACTAATAACAAATAATATATTTTATCTGTGATAAATTTTTATATAATTATATATCAATACTATGTCAATTAATTTTTAATTAACTTGAATTGCTTTTAATTTAAAATTCATATATACGTAAAAATATATGGCATACTACAAAACTGTTAATAGTTATAACTTTTTAGTTAAAAGTATTATTATAAAATGTTATCAACTTTGTATAAAAATTTAAATTACAATTAAAAATGAACATGACGTTAAATTAAATGTAAAATGTTAAATATTGAATCATTATTTAATTCATTTTATATCATTAGATAATAATTATTTTAGTCCTTGATGTTTTTGGAGGAAATAACTATAAATTAAAAAAAAAATATTAAAATCTTCAATATTAGAAGGGGTTAAGATACATTTATATGTTAAATAAAACTATTCTAAAATAAAAGCATGCCTGTTGTGATAATTGCTTTAAATTCAAATTTTCATCTACTGTACTATCTCTTCTAGCAGCCACTTTAATGCCAGCAGCTAAATCTCCATAAAAACTATCGGAAAATGGGCTGTATGTCATTGATACTCTTGTTAATGGATGTAAAGAAATAGCACAAGCTCTGTGTAAACTAAAACTAATTAAATCCCATTGTTTTGCGGTAAAATTATCTCCAGCACCTAAAACAAAATGTCTTAAACAGGAACATCCTAATCGGACAATGTTCTCCACTGTTTGAATACAAAATTCATTTAAAACAAATAATAGTTGTTTTATCATAAGTGTTATTTCTTTTTCAAATTTTGATTCATAATTCTTATCTATCTTAAGGTAAGTGACAATTAAATCAGTAGAATTTCCACACAATTGTTTGAAATTAGGTAAATCACTTAGGTCATGTGTAGATACAATTTTTCGTTCCCATATTTGTATGGTTGGAAGAAGTAATCGATTAATGCAGAAGCAACCGAAAATAAATCCTGTAATTGTATTAATATATGTATTTATTTATTCACCACAATTAACACTAAAATACTAATTAAGAAAAATTGTATTATTACCAGGTGTTTCTGGAAAAGACTGTAGTATGTCCAAGAGTAATTCAAGACTTTGTCTTTGATATGTACCAGTTGTACCATTAATTGCAGTACAAAGTCCTTCTACGATACAGTACCAAACTCTTAATATGCCACATGGTTGATCTATTTCCTCTAATTTTATAGCTTCATCCTTTGATTCTTCAATTGATAATAGCTTATAGTTTTCATTTTGAACATTTTGTAACTCAGGTACATCATAATCAACCAAAGTAAAGACATGGTTTCTAAATATGATACATAATAGATTAAAGAAATTAATATAATTTTTATATATTTATAAAATAAATTCAGTATTAAAGAGAATTAATATACAAAACTTAAATTTGTAATATTTAATATTTAATAAATTAATACTTATGTAGTTTTGGAAAAAATCTAATAACTTACCGATTAGACAAATGAAATTTTGGACAAGCTGGCATAACATACATTGACCTTAATATTAAACTGCAATGTTGTAAGTGCTTAAGAGCTGCTTTGCAAAGTTCTAATTTAACATAATTATCATCAAAGTTATCGAAATCTAATTGTTATGAAAACAAATTATGGTAATTTATACTTTATAATTTGCATTTAGTTTCAAATATAGACAAAATACATACTAGTTCCTTTAACATGTTTAATAAGACAAGCTATGCAATCAACAGCAGCATTTGAAAATACTAATGTATCATCAGTATTAAGAAAAACTCTGAATACTTCCAACAGTGATGACAAATTACTGCTATTGACTACTTTTAAAGCGCCAAACAAAGGTCTCCAACCAGATCTAATGTCTGAACGGTTAGCTTCAACAAATTCACATAAGCAACTGACAATCTGTAAACAAACATAAACTTTTTGTTAATTGTTCAACATGAATTAGAATTATATAAAAATTAAATTATTGTACTTGATCTTGAATTTCTATGTCACATAATTCTAAACATAAAAGATTTTCAAAAGGCTTGAATAAAGATTCATTAATATGAAAATGAGAAAGTTCAGGTTGATCATTGAGAAAAGCTAAAACTGTATCGTGAATTGAAGCAATAGCTTGTTTAGATAACGCCAAATCTTTATGACATGCTATCTAAAAAAAAAAATGTATGTTACTATAACTTCTAAACATGATGAAATAAGTACATCAAATATACTTACTTCCATCCAGCACGGCAATGAGATAGACCAAATTTTGATCATATGAAATAATGGACGACCACTTTTAATGCAACGTAACATAAGACGAGATAATCGTGTTAAAAGAGTTGCATTATTAGTAGAATAATTAGACTTAGGTTTCTTTTTATCAGGTAATTTAAACAACTCATAATGAATAGTTTTACATAGGCTATGAACAAATTCAGTTAGTGCTCTTAGATTTAATTTTAATGCGGCATCTTCAAATAACCTATAAAATTAAGTAAATTTAATGAATCACAAAATAAAAAAAATTTCAATAAATATAAACAGATATACCGATCAACATATTGAGATAGAATGCAAACAATTTGTGCAGCATATTCTTGATTTAATATTCCATTGTTTTCAATATCTGCTCTACTTTTGTTCACTAAAGTTGATATAGTTTCAGTCAAATTATTAGGAGAAGCTGGCGAAGATAAAAAACTGTAGACGTCCATGCTACAAATTAAAACAGTTAATAGGTTTTCAAGTAAATAGTATATTAATGTTTTTTTTTCTTCTAAAATAAGAGCTTTAATATCATTGAAAAGTGTATTATTAATTATAAACAATGCCATAATTAAATTTCATAAATTTAAAATAAAAATGAGAAAATTCTTTATTTGATAAGATACAGGGATGGATGAATGATACATATACATACACTTCATTAGTATTTTGAACTTAAAACTATTGTACCATTGTTCTCAAATAAACAATTCTGGGAAAAATGGTTAAGCGGATAAGTTTATTTTTCTAAAAAGAGTTGATATAATAGTGGAACCAAATTTTTTAATAAGGTAAGTTGAACTTTTAATGTTTTAGCTTTAGGAAAAAAAAAAAGCATCTAAAATTTGAGAAAATCAAACATTTTGAATACTTATCAACAACACATATTTTAATAAAATATTTTGAAATTATAAAATAAGTAAATAACTAATTACATCTAATAGACATTCGTTGAAATATCTAATTTTGTAACATTTTTAAATCATTTTTGCACTTTTTTGTTACTAGAAAATCTTATGAAAAATCTTATAACCAATTTTCAAGCTTTAAGAACAAAAATTTAAAATTATATACATTTTTGTGATATTTAATGATCAATCAAATCTTTTTTTATATTAAGCTCAATTTATTTTTTCTTTGATCAGAAATAGATATACAGTCGACTTTCAATAATTTGAAATAATTGGGACTGTTGAAAAAATTTGAATTACCGAGTTAAGAAATTTTTTTTGTTTTTTATTATTGTACATAATTATTAATTATTTCAGAAAATTAGGCGGTATTAGTTATTTATTGTTTTTATAATGTAAATTTTAACTATATAATTATTATATTTTGAAGAAATCTGTAATGGTTTTCTGCTTCGTTGAATTTAGTTTCCTTTTTTCAATAGTAATTTTTAAATTTGATGCACTCATCACAAGAACTTTACAACTGACCAAACGAAACTAAAATAAAACTACATTTGGCTGACGGCTATGGAAGAGACTAATGATTATTAGTGAAGATTAAAAAATAAAACGATAAGGTTCTTACAATATTAATTCTATAGTTATTGAAAATAATATGCTAAATTTCTACACAATTGTAAATTATTAACAAAATGATTATAAGAATACTGATTAAATAAATTTACTGAATATACTTTGAATTTCCAAGCGTTGAATGTATGATACTTCGAATTATCATGTGTTAGTAAAAAGTTTTCCCAAAATTTAATTTCAAATTACTGAGTGTACTTAAATGCATTGTTTTTATTCAAATTACCGCGTGATTTTCAAGTACCAATTATTAAATTTGAATTACCAAAGGTTTCAAATTATCGAAGGTTTAAATTATAGAAAGCCAAATGAAAATTAGAAACTTTGTATTAAATGTTCAAAACTTTTTGTTCAACTAAAATTATTTTATTGACAATTTCAAAAAAAGTTACAACATAAACATTTAAATTTGATCAAAAACTAGTGTGTTATAAATTTTACCATTAGCTTATAACTTTTTGTTAGTTTTTCACATTTATTAAGAAAACTGTTGGAAAATTTGTAAAATTATATCTCTCAAAGTACCAACTAAAACCCATTTTCTATCTTTTAATTTTTACTTAGTAATGATCGGAGTATTCCTGATCTAAATCATATACAAAAACATAAAAAAAAAAAAAATCATCATAATAAAACTAAAAAAAAATCCTTGTGTCACTAAAAATCTAACAAAGAAAATTTAAATAGCAATTTTAAAAGAAATATACTTGGATAATAAAAAAAAAAAGACAAAGTGAAACTAAAAAAATATTACCTCCAAAATTATAATGTGTATAATAATTAATTTTTTATGCTTTAATAAGAAGTTACTTAAATTTATATTTTAAAATAAACATATATTAAAAACAAAAAAAAATAATGATTAAATGTGCAAGAATTGTTTTAAATAGAATATATGCGCTTTTACTTTATATTTATATTTTATAAAAATTTATATATATATATATATAAAATATATATATATTTTATATTTCTAATTATGTTAAATTAAATTTCTATATTAATATGATTATTTATATTTGCATATAAGCAGTGCCTTAATACTGAAGAGGAAGATTAAGAAATTAAGTATAAAACTACTCCCAAACTACTATTTTAAGAATTACAGTAATACCAAGCCAATGAATGGGGCAAGAACCTAAATTATTTTTTTGGTAAAAAATAATAGCTTCCTAATTTTATTTATGCAATTTAAGTATAACAAATTAGAATATCATTAGAAATTATTCTTACCAAACTTCTTCATCACTATCTAAGGATGAACCGAAACTTTTGTTTAAATTCTCAGTAGTTAATAATTTAGGTTTAATCATTTTTAATGCAGTAACTGATGGAGATGTCTGTCTAAAAAATACTTGTTCAAGGTATCCAACATACAAAGCACAACTGTAAAGTTAAACAAATTAATATTTGTTTATTTAAATTAATATTTAAAATATTTACTTAAAAATATGTGGCCAACATTCTTGACCATGGCATCCAAATTCTAAGCCTCGCGAAAGCATCACATCCATACTTAAAACATGTGAAGTTATCAACTTTGGTTGCTTTTTCATAATACCAGAAAACCAATTAATATGACCATTATGTGCACAAGAAGCTTTCACGAGTAATGCAAAAATACCTTCACAACGATTATGCATACCTAAAATAAACAAGTACAATTATAACAGTAATAAACACTTGAAAGTTAATATAGATCAATAAAATTATTTATTGCAACACATACCTAAAATATTTGCAAGAGTAGCTGCTTTTTGCAAAGCATCTAAACTGTGTTGAACTGACATTTGACGGATAGAATCTTTGTTTAATTCATTTCGTAGTATTTTTTTAACTTGTGTATTTTTTGTATCATTGGACGAATCAAATTGAAGAGGAATCGCCAAAACATTCATCATAGTATCCCAGCAACAAGTAATAATTCGTCTACTTAATTTTATCCCTAATAAAAACACCATATTGCTTACAAGTAAAAATATATACAAATATATTATTTTAAATAATTAACTAAAAGATAATTTGAATTAATTATAAAAGTTTACTTAAAATAATTTTTTTAAGTATATATTAATAAATTTATTTATTATTTTTGTAAATTGAAATTTTCTACGATAGGATGATAAATATTCAAAATCTTACCTGCATCAATATCAGGACTAGTTTCAGATCTACAGACAGTTCTTTCTAGACGAAGATAATCTGATAGTAACCAATTAACTTTATTTTCAGAACTATAACCATCAATATCTAAACAAATGTATTAAAAGAAAATTAAATTAATAAAACTATAAGGCAGAGGTCTGAAATTGAAATTAAAATGCATGTAAAATAATTACAGCCATACAAACAGTAACATTTAAAACTTAACTATGTTCAGCATTATATATTAGATAAGGCAATAATTAATGTTAACTGGTCACCAGTGTTGTCAAAAGTGGTATATATTGTATTTTAATTTAAGATCATAAATAAAATTAAGCACAACAATTATAACGCTAAAATTAAGTACTACAAAAAATATATATTTATAAATAATCTATATGTTATGGATATATAGATTTATATATTATGTAAGGATCAAATTAAATTCTTTACAAAAAAATTATTTAAGGCAAAATGAATTTACTAAAAATTAAATAATTTGTTTATGTTTAAATTTTTTTAAAAGGATTTTTAATACTCATATACTAATTAATATTAAAAAATAGTAAACAAATAAACTTGATGCCTATATTAAATTTTTCATAATTTAAAGATATTAAATTATTAATATACCTCTGGTTTAAATAAAACTAGTTGTAAAAATATTGGACGGAAGTACAAACATATTTTAAACAATATTACTATTAAGTTTCAAATAAACACTAATAATAAAAAAATTAATTACAAAATATAAAAATACTAAAATGATCATATAAAAAAAATAAAATCAAATCAAAATTATCAATCAATTAAAAATGAATACATTTTTTTTTTATTGACAAAACTTAATTACTTATTAAAATAAAATGTCACACTATTACCAAATATGTTGTTTTTTAAAAAAAGGATTGTTTGAACTAAGAAAAATTAAGGGAATACAAGTAAATTATTTCTTTTGTGTTTAGTTTTATTTTATTTTAAAGAATACATTGAAAATCCTAATTTTAAAATTAATTTATTGGCTTACATTAAATTAAGGCACACTACGCGATTCAATTAAAATATAACATGTGAGAATTGTGTGATTTATGTAATTTGAGGTCCACCAACACAAAACAATATCTAGTCGATCAAACAGTGCCAATCACGTGATTTCTTAGCCAGGCTTTGTCCACTAAAACTTTCTAAAAAAAGTTAGGAGTGGTATAGTTACATAAAGGTAAGTATTTTTAAACCAAATTTTAAATTGACCAACTCCATTGATACAAATCAAAATGTCAAACGAAAAAAAAAAATGAAATTGCATGCAATTCGTGTGATATGATTTTCAGTGTGCAGAAGACATAATTATATTGAAAAATAGAAAACAATAATATATATTTTTAGAGGCATATTTACATATTTCCCACATGTAGGCCTGTGGGAAATAGCCCCATTAGCATTAACTGAGTTATCATTTAATTGCCCACTATAAAATATATATTAATTAGGTAAGAATGCAAAACACACTTTAACATTGACATTAATAATAAATACAAAAATACATTCTTCATATTTGCCGTTGTAGGCACTTGCCAATAGTGCCTACACAGAAATATGTCACTGCATACTTTATTATACATTTATTTAGAATTTTTAAGGTTTATAAGCATTTAATTTGATTTAACATATTATTTTAAAATTATTTTTAATCAAGATAATGTAAAAATTATAAAAACTAAATAATATTAAAACCATTAAACATTTCTTTAAAATATAAAATTCTAATCACCTCAAACAATTTGTAAAAAAAAAGAAGCATATATATATATATAAAAAAAGCCAAAATTATAAATTTTCATCAAATCAAGCTTGAAAATTGAAGCAAACCCAATATGAACCTGATAATAGATCTATTAACGCCAAATGACCAATTGCTTGAATCTTGTAACCGGATAATACCAAAATATTAGTAACAAGTACATGTTGATAGAGCTCAGCTAACCAATTGCTAGATACATACATCAACATGCCACTGCTGAATATGTTTTCAATAAATTGATCCTGTAGAATAACCCACCCATGATAATTACGTCTAGAATTATACATCAACCTCAAATTTTTATTTGAGTTATTTTATACATTGAATTAATACAATTTTCTAAATAGACAAACTAATAAAAATATAAAAAGTATTTTTATATACAACATCCTAATAATATTATAAATAAAACAAAACAAAATATTAAACAATTAATAGTATAATATAAATAATTAAACTTAAAACTATATTATAACATGTATTTTTAACTTACTTCAGACATGATTGGCGGCACAGAAGAATCATCATAATAATTCTGATGAATTAATTTCAAATTAAGATAAAGAGACATACATGTTGCTACATAAACACCATCTGCATTTATTATTATTGAATCATATTTTTTATTTTCTTGGCGAATTATTTCTACAATAAAAATAAAATAATCATAAAATAAGAAAAATTACTCCATTGAGTTTATATGGAGGAAATTTTAAAAATATTCATTACTAAAGTCAAAGCATCATAACTTGAAACTTTAGGAAAATAAATCAACATTTATACTCTTAAAAATTAAGATAAATCAACATTGAAGTACATTTGAAAAGATTTTAAAAATAATTTGAGTTTTTGTGACTTGACTTTATTAATAACTACAATTATACTATAATGATGAAAAATAAAACTATATTCTTTGATATTTAGTATGAAAGATGAGCCAATAAAGTTTAAAAATAACTAAATTACATATAAGTTAAGTTATAAATTGTTTACATTAATTAAACTTATAAATCAATAACGAAGAAAAGGAATAGCCTAATCCAGGCAGTTTTAATTTATTATTCAGCTCGAAAAAAGTATCATATATTCTAGAACTTATTGACATATTTATAAATAATTTTAATTTACATATTGATACAAAATAAATATACATATTCATTGAAAAATTAAATGTATAAAAAAATAATAAGATTAACCATATGTTCATAATTCTTAGTTTCCAGTTAAATTATTTAAAATTATTATAAAACTGATATATTTAGCATTTAAATATTTCTAATTATATCTATACATGAGGTTTTATTAATTAATATAAAAGAAAAATTTTAAATTCTAATCCAGTTTTTTTTATACCTTGTGCTATAATAAATTGAACCATCACAGTTTTTAATAGTTAATAAGGGATAAGTATATTAAGTTTTAATAGAACGAAAAAAAAATCAGTAAATAAATTATTTTAATGTATTTATTATTTTTTTATATGCATGATATATTTAAAATTATTATTCTAAAAATATATTATAAAATGTTTAAACTAAAATAACCTTCACAATAACTTGAAGAAAATCTTTGGATCTCTTCATCTACTTGTAACGTACTTCGAAGTGGTGTTAATGTAGGTAAAAAACTAACCAGGGTCTGTACAAAGTTACCAGCATTTTTTCTTTCCATATCCAATAACTCTACAGATTCCTAATAATATAAAAATATACATCAAATTATTTATTATAATTATTTATTTTGAATAATATAACCATGTGATCACATGTTAAAAATAATCTCTATATAATTTTCGGAAGGTGACACTATCAGTACAAAATGAGGGGGGAAAAGGAACAATTTAAAAATTAAATTGTTTTATTTATTTTATTTTATGTTAGTTTAAATACAAAACATACAAAATATATTTTCTAACTCATATAATTTTTTTAATTTATATTTTGTCTTATATGTTATATCAGTATTTTATAAATTGCCTATAATCCAACTACAAGGTTAATTACACTCATGTATATTACTATAATATTCATAAAAAATACAACTTAATTGCATGAATTAAAAATATAAAATTGAAATGGTAAAAATTTGAATGTAACATCTCTAATATTTTTAATAAAATATCTGAATTAACTAATGATAAGAAATAACTAAAAATGGTTTTTTTTTTTACAAATTTCAGAAAAAAATATGTGTAAAATAAAACTTACTGGAGTTACTTGAATGACATTAAGTGTATGCAACTTCTTCGTCACTAGTTCTAAACGAATTTCTTCTTCTCTTAGATTTTTTTCAACTGCTGCTTCCATTTCATCAATCTGAAGTATAAAATATAACTATTCTTATTAAATTAAAAAAAAAAATTAAATTTTTTTTTAAATCACCTACTTAAATTGAATAATATTCTTATTTTAATTTTAGAATCGATCAATAAAATATGAAGTAAAAATAACGTTATATAAATTATAACTAATATTTTTGATATAATTAAATAAAAATGTATTTGAAGTATAATTTCTTAATACATAATATAAATGTTTTTCCTTTTATACAAGCACAGTAAAATAAAATATTATAATACCTGTGGATCATTTTGATATCCACCTTCAGGACCTTCTGTATTGCCACTACTTGGCACTCCACTACTACTACTTGTACTATTAATACGACTCCTGTTTCCAACAGATGATTCAGGAGAAGATAATTGTTCTCTGTAAATATTTGGCAATCTCATCATTGATTCATAAGATAAAGGTCCTGTATAGTCACAACTAGATAAAGATTGGAATTTTTCATTTATTTTGTCAGAGTAAACATCATTGATTCCCTTTCCAGTAGATAAATCAAGAAGAGTTGAAAGTAATGAAAGTATACATGAAACACTTGTAAATACAATTTCCCAATCAGAACATTTAGAACATTCTTCTATAGAATCCATTACTCTAAAATAAATAACATAAAAATGTAATTTATATATATATGTATAAGATATTATCTTACAAGATTAAATTAGTAATGTTGGAGAGTTATATAACGGTTTACAAATCTAAATTTTTTTATGAAAGATTTTAATATTAAATTATTCAAAAAAATTTTATACTATTTTGTGTAAATAAGTTTTTTACACAAAAAAGACAAAAAAATGGTGAACAATATTTCTAAACGCAAAGTAGTATATATAAAAATATAATTATTTAAATACTAACAATCGAGTCAATGCCATGTCACTCTGTTGACACATTTTACTATCTTCAACAAGTATTGGACCAGCAAAATCAACAATCCTATTTGGACTACTAAATAACTGAAAGTAAAATAACATATAGTAAGTTATTTTAACCTTTATTTGATTAAAGCTTTTGAACTTCAATTGATACATTTATTTATTAATATTATAAATATTATCATATAAATATCCATACAATACACATAATAAAATATTGACCAAACAGTTAGTCAGTATTAAAATATTTATAAGTAATATGTTTTAAGAGTCAATACCAAATTTCTCAAAAATATTTGAATCATTACTTAGGTGTTAAACAAAATCGCATTATTATATTACTGTTTAAATTAAGTATATACTTATATAATTATTACAAAATAAATTAATAAATTATTTTTAGATGTATTTAAGTTATATCATTTAAGTAACATACAATTCTGAGTAGAATAATAAATTTCTGGTATAGAATTGTTGGTTTATTAGTAATAGGTTAAAATTTTAAATAAATATTATCAACTATTTTATAATTGAATAATGAGAAAATATAAAGTGCCTGCATTTCCTTTAAATTATTAAATTTTAATTGTATTCTTTCAAATTTAATAGAAAATGTATTATTTATATTTATACATTTAATACCAATTATATTTATAGCAATTTAAAATGATTTATTGTATATTTTTTTTGGAATTACTACTAATTACTAAAGAAAAATAAATTATTTAAATATTATGTAAATACGAATATTTAAAACTTCTTTTTCTTCTTCTCTTTCGCTTTTCTCCCTACTATCTGGGGTTAGTCACCCTTGTCCTAAACCCTTAATTTGTTTCAATTTTTACATCCCCTACGCACATTCCACAAGCTAGTTAATAATTTTTTTTATCTAAAACTTAAATATTAATTAAAATAATTAATAAAAACTTTCAAGTGATTTTAATAAAATTACATATTTTTAAAGTATTTAATTATTATAATTGACTTGAATTATAATTTTAATACAGTATGCAATATGACTCATATTTATAACTTATATAATAATATATATATATATATATATATACTTATTGTTATAATAATTAATTCTTATTTTTAGTACCATTGAAAAAATAATTTTAACTATAATTTATTGTTTTTTTAGTATAATATAATTATATTATTTACACCTACCTCTTTTAAAGCTTTTAAAGCATCTATTCTATAGACAGGTGGTGGATACAAAAGCATTCTATGAAAGACAGATTCCAAAACAGGCCTAAGAGAACTTACACATCCAACTAGTCTTACTAATTGACATCCAATACTAAAAATGCAGTTAAAGCTTTATATTAGTAATTGTAGTAAAAGGTTATATAGTAGGCATGTAAATTGAATAATTTTAGTATGTATTAAAAATATAGTTAAATATCTTTATTATTACTATACCTATATATTATTTTGGATTGATGACTGTTAAAGCTAGGAGCACTTCCTAAAACACCGGAACCTCTACCTAATTTTGTGGCATGATCATTGTCTCTAGAAACAATTTTTTTATCCACGCGTGGAGATCCTAAATAAGCAATAATAGCTGGACATAATCGTTGCCACAAAAACATAGTAAAATGTCGATTGTCATGCACTTTTTGAGGTAAGCTGGCAACAAGTGTATGTAGACACTCCAGATAAAATACAACAGCTTGACTACATCGATCACCACTAATAGTATAACAAATGATAGTTAAGTTAAAATTTGAAGTATTAATGGTATTGACAATATATTTACTTTTGAGTCTCATCTATTTTACTGACAATAAACTGCATAATAGGTAATGCTTCATTAAAACACAACACTCCACCAGCACCATTTTCTTTCATTTTATTTAATTCTTCGCATTCTTCATCTAAAACAAAGCAAATTTTTTTTAAACATTTTTATATAAAATAATGAATTCATAAATTCTAGATCATTTGAAGTCTTTGAAAATCTAAGATGGAGAACTGTAAGATACATAAACTTTAATTCTATTGCCAGATAATGAATCTATTTTTCTTTAGTACATATTCTCAATTAAATGTATTAGTCTATTTTTTTACAAATGTTGATAAAAATCAGATATATATATATAAATATTACCAAGATAATTGCAATAATATCGGAGAGTCTGGCTAACAGCTGCTTGTGCAGCAGACCGTATTCCTTGGTTCCCATTTTCATATACTTCACATGATAATGTAAGTATCTGAATAATTATACGCCCATTCATTGTCCAATATGATGAACAAGCAACATTCAAAAACACCTAGAAATTAATTATAAATTATTTTTCTTTTTGTTTACTAATCCAATAAAATTAATAGATTTACCTTTAACATATCTATTTGTGTATCATCAGATTGTGTTAAAATAGAGCTTATTGTATGTAAAATTTGTGATGGCAACCATAATGAATCATCTTCTGGTTCAAAATTTGATTGAAAACGATCATCTCTTAAAATTTTCTAAACATATTTAATGTATTTTTATATAACTTAATTTAATTTTGTTTAAAAAAATATATTTGTTTTACATTTAATCCACATAAAGCATGAGATACTAATTTGCTTTTTCTAGTTTCAAATGCTTGTTTAAAAACATTTAAACATTTTGCTCTTAATTCATGAGCTGGATCACGCAATGTTCCTTGTTGTTTTTCTAAAAATACTGAAACAAAAATCATGAAAACATAATTTACATTTATTCTCTGACAGAGTTTAAGTTTAGTTGTATGATCGAAACTATAGAATAATAAATTATCAAATAAATTAAACTTAAAATGTATGTAAAATACTACCATATGCTTCAGTTGCTGACTGACTTAAGCTGTTTAATTTTGCATTTGTTGCATCTTTCGAAATCTGAATGAGTAGATCTTCCATGTTTATTAAGTTTTAAATTATGTTCAATAAAAATATTAAAGTCGTGTCAGCGATTTTAAAAGAATGGGAAGTGTTTACAATTTCACTATCATAACTGATTACAACGTGTATTTAAGGTAAGTAACTACTAGATTTATTTAATTATAACGGTCAGAACTGCAAGGAAATCATTTGAAATACAACGTTATGATTGTTTATGAAGTTTTGTAATTATAACTCAACAAATGAGACTTATAATTATAATTTTTAAACGTTTTAACTCCGTAAACATTAACAACACGTGACGTCATTTTTCGAATTACATTATGGAATTTCTTGGATGGATGTTCTTATCTGCTTTTCTGTTATCAATTATCGGTTATCACCAAGGCTGTAAATTTAAAATCCTTAAAAATGCATTTAAAATGTCAAAAATTGCAATAAAAAATTCACCTAAAAGATTTTTAAAATAACATGGTTTTTAATTCAATTTTTATATATTTATATTTGTATAAGTATATTATATACATAAAAATTAATTAATTTAAAACAAAAAATTTTCTTAAAAAAATTTACGAAATTTTATCGAATTTTAATTTTGATTCGGAAGTTGATTGATTTTGTAATAATTATATTCGTCTGAAAAATGTTTAAATATTTTTTTTTCACGTATTTTTTTTATGAAAAATATTAAATAAATTTAAATATATTTATTCATAGGTACCAGTGGCGCCGAATGAAGTTGAAACTGCAATCATTAACAATCATTAAAAAATAAATATATATTTAAAGATGCATTAAGATCAAACTTCAACTTCAAGTTGGAACTGATTAATCATGTGATTTACCCAAAACTAATATAGCTATAATTATAGTAAAGTTATTGTAGATTTTATTAATTTAGGGGTGAAACTAAACAAATTTTGAAATTGATGCAAAATAAAGCATTTTTTTGGGAAAGGTAGGGGTAAAATAGTTTAATTTGCGGTTCATGGGCCGGTTTGTTTCATATTTCCTGGGCCAAAAATAATTGCCAATCCGCCCTTAATTGTAACTGTAATATTATCATAATAAGTGTTAGCACAAACATTTATAACATATTGTATTATTTTTTTTATTACGAAACATCATTTACATATTTTCACCAAATATTTTTCAATAAATTAGGTACATTTAATTTAACCAATATCAGTCAAAATAGGATCCCTTACTCTTAAACTTAAATTGTGATGTTCTAGTTACAATATTTCGAAAGTGCAAGAGCATATCCCTATGACTAGATGAAATTAATATAACTATTTAATCTGACTATATTCGATGTACCCAAATGTTCGCTAAAGATTACAGCATACTTTTTGAATTCTATATTAATGTTTAAATGTATATGTTAATTATGCTATCAAAAATTAAAATGATCATTTTTATTTATACTGCATGGTATTTACGGATCGACGAAAAAATCCAGTATGAAAAATTATAAATAAATGTAATATTTTTTGCACATGGGATTTGTTTATTTTCTTAGGATATTTAGTCTAAAATATATATGTTTATATTCGTTCAGAGCTGTAAAGAATACTTTTAAAAAGTATTTAAGTAAATACTCAAATACATTTTTTTTTTCAAATATTTAAGATACTACTCAAATACTTTAAAAAAGTCTTTGGAATACTTTTCAAATAATTTTGTAAAAGAAATATTTGGAGTAATTAGGCCATGGTATACTAAAATTTTGTAGAGAAATAGTCGAAAGATATGTATTTCTGACAAACATTTCCCGGTTCTGAATCACTTTCATCATTAGTATTATAGCTAGAATTACTTATAATTAAAACTTGAATTAATTGTAGTAACCAATAGGTTTAAACACAACTACATAAGTCTTTAAATTAATAAATAAAAACGGTGTAAGCTTGCAACTATATAGTGATTTATGGGAAAATCTATGTTATTCTCGTAATCCCGTATAACCAGGCAAATATCGTATCTGATATTAACGGTGGGTTTATACGTTCAGTTAAACTGCGCAAATGAACTGTACATGTAAATGGAAATCGTATGATTGCACAGTTTAAAATATTGGAATGTGCGAATTCAGGCGATGTCTGAAAAAAAACTGTGCAGTTAAAGTAACTGCACAGTTTTTTCGTGTGTGTTAATAGATAACTGTGGGTTTTTAGACAATTTTAAAATGTATTACTAAATTTGAGTCAAAATATGATGCATACTTACTGTATATTTTAGAATGTTGGGACATGTAAGGACACGTACGTTCATCGTTCATATCATGTACTTGATACTGTATAATATTCAGTGGCGTATTTTCAATTTTTTCTGGGCGGGGTCCACAATTTATACATAATTAATATAAACTATATATTATATTCTAATAGTTACGTCCTTATGCAGTTTTTGGAGGAAGTTGAACTAAATATATAATGTAATAATCGTATAGTCTTATGTAATATTATATATATATATATATATTGTATATTGCACTAGATATTATAAAGTATTGTTATAAAATAAATTCCAGTCGTCTTAATTTTTTTGCCAACTTCTCTATCACTTTATCAACAGTAATTCCAACGTCCCTGTGAATGTTTAACATAGCTAATTTTGCAAATATGTAAGAATTTTAGTTTATTTTTAATTTTTTGGAGAGGTTCTGGGGGGGGGGGGGGTCCAGTACCCCTGGAAAGGTACCCCGTAAATACGCCACTGACAATATTATCTTCTAACGTACTAAATCATTTTTATTAATGATTTTATAGACTTTGTTTAGTGCATTTTGGATAAAATAATTATTTTTTTACCGTGCAAGTCATAAGTCGTGTTATCCGAAAAATCGTTAAAAAATAAAACATTTATTTTGGAGTTTACACAGTTATATAAGTCATATCTTTGTCTTTGGAAACTTAAATTCAAAAATTATTCTAACCGAAATATCAAAAATCGTGCATATGGTTGTCATATACTATATGTTTGGTTTGTTGGTTTCTTACCACTTATTTTTATGTATTTTATTTTTGAAATATTAATTGTTTTTTTTTTTAATTACACACACTGCGAGAAGGGAGAGATCCTCTTCGGTAATGGTCGACATTTTTGCTACATGGTCAAATTAGAACTAACAAAAATTTGTGTCAATAACTGAACGTCTAAACCTTAAATAATTGACTCAGTTTATTTGCATAAACAGACTGCACAAAAATATCTCAAATTGATTTGCACAGTTTAACTGAACGTGTAAACTCACCTTAACTGTTACCTCTCTAATAATACAAAAGGAAATTTTGTTATTGAATATATATTTTTAAAAATCTGGTTTTCAGAAAACTTTGGGCTTTGATTATAGTTGACAATAATTTTCCAATCAAATATTTTGAATAAAAATAAAATGTTCGAAAAAAAAAAACAAAGTATTCAATACAAATAAGTATTCAATAGAAAAAAAAGTATTTAAAATATCATTGAAAATACTTTGTTCTGAAAATATTTAAAAAATTATTCAATACTTAAAAAAGTATTTGAATACTTTTATTTAAATACTTTTACTCAAATACTTTACAGCACTGTATTCTTTCTATGCTTTAACGTTAATTTTTAGAATGTTAAGTACCTTTCTGTTCTAATCCTTAAGCAATGCTGAAATTCCCGATTGCTACCCAAATATGAGTAGGTATCTATTCCGATTTCTGTTTACTTCCCGACATACATTGGTCCCCGAATCAACTTATAAATAGTTATATAAGTTAAATAAATCATAATCATTATTGATATATATCTATCTATCCATTTATCTATACATAGCGTTTTACAAGCCATTTAAGCTCATTGCCGCAACAACCACTTGTCTCCATTGATCTCTTTCCTTAGCCAGTGTAACTCTGTTTTCAATTCCAAGTTCTTCTAATTTCTTGTCCACTCGTTTTATAAAATTTAAAAATAAATTTATAGGAAAAAATAATGATTTACCATATACGAGTATATATATAATTTTATATGTTTCCTAATTAATGATATATTTAAAATTTTAAAAATAAAAATATTTATGAAACATTAGGTGATTTATATTTTTTTATAATCAATAGGTTCTAATGACCTAATATGTTTCAGTATAAGTGGAGAAATGGTAATTGTAAAAATGTACAGTTTTTCAAGCTATCAAAATAATTATATTCATAGACTCAACATTTTATACAATTACCTAGTACTAACAGTGCTGAATGAAAAATAATTATACCTAGTTTGTTTAGCTTAATAACAATATACAATTTAGGTTTATACTTAAATACTTACTAGTTATTTAGATATACAGTACCATTATGGAATTTGGAATTGCATATAATTGAATATACCATTTTTTTTTTTTTAATTTGCCTTTGTTCGCACATTACAGCACCGAATATATCATAACTCTTCATTATTTTCTTCGTTTTATTTTATTTTAATTATATTCAAAGTTTTTTCTAAATTTTCTTATTTTTTTAATTTGATACTATATGCATTGGGCATAAGTACAGTTATTTTATCAAATTTTTTCTCAGAGTCAAGCAACTTAGTATGTTATAGTTATATTATAACTTCATAAAGCGAATGATAAAACTCTTGATTTTTCATAAATTGTATGCATTTTTTTGAGGAGAGAAGGGGGTGATTTTACTTCTTCAAAATGATTGGGGCTTAAATAATATGTAATACAGTTGTAAGTATAAGTGAGTGAATACCGTAAATCTTAATTCGTTGTTATTACAATATGTTATTTGGCGGAGTGGGCGATCAATCTTACCACAACCTCTAAATTATACACCTGGTTTATCAGTGTATCAGTTTTCTCTCGTAAAATATAATTCTAGATACATTGTATGAATTAAATCTCTTAAATTTTTATTGTAATGATAACCAGTTATTAATGCATTGTATTTCTTTGATTACTTTTTGGTTAGTTGTAATGCACTAAAAGTTATTTGTAGAAATTTATTGTTGCAGATGGAGCACATAAAGTAAAATACAATACAATAATACAATATATTAACACACTAGGTCGTTTTAGATTTATAAATTATTTTCCCTAGGGAGTAGTGTTAAGAAAACTGAGAAATATTTGAGAATAATTTTGAAAATTTTTAAACAATTATGGCATTTGTTTATATAACAGATTTATTTAGGTACATAGGCGCCGCTAGGAATTTCGTCAGGGGGGTGCATCATGCATAGTATTTATGCTAATTTCTAAATTATGCATAAATTATTTAAGGTAAATACGTTTTCAAATTTTATGACAATACAAAATTATTTTTGTTTTTATGATGGCTACAAAGTAATGCAAGCAA